AATCTTCTGAAAGAAAAATCGTTTTTCAAGGAGAAGCTTACCTTCAGGTTGAAATCTAAACGCAGGATTTTCTGAGCGATTGTTTCTGTAGCTTATTAAATTGCATGTAGAGAGTGCAAAAGCAAATGCGGTAAAGCACTATATTAAAGCAATAATTCTTTGATGGCTATTTAAACACTTCGATAAACTAAGAACTTCACAGGAATTTTGTCCTTAATTTTTAAATGAAAGTATTTTAAATCAAGTTTGAAAAATATGAAGAATACAGAGATAATAGTATGCGTTTTTATTACGTATTGCTGTAAATTTTAACAAATACATGTTTTTGTTTCTTTTAATTTAAATTTTTTACGTTTTATAGTTCTGCACAGATTCTATGTTTACTTATTTAGTTAGTTATTGCATTTCATTTAATGAATTTATTATGCATTTTTCTCTAATAGAACTTGTTGTCATTTAGTGCTTTTATAAGGTTAGGTATTATATTAAATATCTGCTTTCATGCACTGTGTTGCATATGTTTTAATTCTAGCTCCGACATTAGAATTGAACAGAAAATATGATTAAAGCCAAAGAGGATATCCACGGAATCAACTGTAGGAATCTCCTGGTTTCATTTGGAAATTTCTTGCCAATTTAGATACATTTTAGAAGTGTCCATGAAACGAGGTTTTGAAGTTCTAGGAGCGATATTATCGAAGCTACCAGATGTGTCTGTACTTACCCCTACTAGTAGAGAGAGTATGCGACACACGAGCCGGTTCCCGGTTTCTACTAACTATAAGGGCAGCCTATGCTATTCACAGAGTAGTGGCTTCGGCCAATTAGGGGTTAGCTAGTCGCCATTTCATGCCGCATTCTATATTTCCAAATTTTGCATATTTTGTTCATTGCCGTGTTCTTAATATCGGGTACAAGACACTGGTGTAGAGAGAAGGGGCTGTCTGTTTCGGGCCGCAATTTTTGCCTGAAAGATTATTTTATACGTGTTAGTCAGGTGAATTATCGAGGCAGGTAAAGAAAAATTATTATATACTCAAATGCCATACGAATTAAATTCAGAAGAAAAGGAGGTTTTGCTCTAGATAAAGTAGTCAAAGAAATCATGTTGTGATTACAACAGCTATATACTTTCCTTATATCTTTTTCATTCCAACGAAAATTTTGAATGCAAATTACGGAAATTGAGTAATTTATGATAATGCTTGACATTCATAAGGAAGAATTCCTTGATAAGAAATAAGTATTTCAGAGTTTTATTTCCATTGTTGCTAGGAGAATCAAACATGAACGTGGGACGACGGTCCTTTTGAATCTTTGCAGTTTGTTCTAAAATGTATCCAGAACATTATTCCAAATATCGTAATAACAATGCGAACTTCTTTTTCAACTTTTGTAAGTATTGCTAATTTGTGAGAAACGTTTAATAAATAAAAGTCATTTAGGAATTACAAATGTATATTTTGAATGTAAGAAAGCTTGTTTACATGTCAGCAAGAACAATCAAGTAGACCTCAACAAAGTCAGCGATGATTTGGCGAACAAAAAAAACGAGCAAAATAATATTCTAATTTTAATATATATAGAAACTAAAGATTATCTTCGAAATGAAACATAGAGTTTTTTCATGACATGTCGTTTCAATATTTTTTGTAGTTATTTGTTTGTATATCATGAAGGGGAGGAAATTTATTGAACTCCCTAGACGACAGATTTGGAGAACACACCGTGCGCCAAAAGCTATCTTTAGTTATTTATGACTCTACAATAATTAAATAATTCTTTTACTCATACTCTAAAAATGAAAAAAAAACAGTTACACTAACTCTCTAAAAAAAGAAGAAAGAAAATAGTATATATTGCCATTCTCTGAAACATAAACTGTACAAAACATAGATAATAATATGAATAGATAACGAATAAAAAATACCGCTATAGAGTAAAGAAAACGATTACATCTGCTTGAAGCTCGTGCAATATTACTCAGAAGCTGCAATTAGAAAAAAAAATGCAAACAAAAATATTAGAGTAAAAATATTGTTCATCCTCCCACCTTGCAATATGAAATTTGAGATTGAGTATTGCAAAATAATAAAAAATTAAACATTGTTCTCCCAAGTCCAATCGATAAGGAACTCTAATTGTCCTTCCTGATTTGGTTATCGTGGGCGATTTTAAATGGGTATGGATTATTCTATTTGTTTCTACAGGTACACCATCAATTGGAGTTTGCTCTACCTAAATATTTTCGCATTGTTGACTTCTGCTGAATTTCAATAGAAATTCCTCGGCAGTCGATAATTCCAAAGAATAAAGATTTTGTACAGCTCTTATGACTTCTCCATTTTGCACTTTAATTCTGGCTCGTCGATTTTCACCGTCGGTACCTGGAAAATTGTATGCCAAGTTACCATAATCCAAGAGACCAACCATTTAATCTCCTTTTGTCATCGCTTCCAATTAAGACAATGTCTTCCTTTCTTTTAATTTACAACTTCTAGCAAATTTTTTGCTTGTTGTTTTCAAAGTTCACCAGATATTCCTGGCGAAAAATCTTTTCTTGAAAACCTGGTTAATTTAATTACATTTTGGATATAACGCAATCTACGTTTATAAAAGATAGAATTGAATTCATGTTTCATAACTAGCACTGAATGGTTTTGTATTTCCCGTAAAAAATTTCCAGGTGTTATGGAAGTGAGACTTGAATCAGCCGATACAACTGTTAAAGGTCTATCATTTAAGATATCTTCACAGTTATACACAACGGTACACATTTCCTCATAACTAAGGCAAGCTCTCCCAAGAACCTTTCTTAATATTCTTTTCATCATTCCTATGAGGCGTTCCCACCAGCCACCACACCATGGAGCGCCTGGGGGAATGAACTTCCAAATAATACGTTAATTAGCTCCTTTTTTTTTTGCAATTTCATTGAAATTGATTGAAGCAAGTGCATTGCATGCTCCAACAAAATTTGTTCCATTATCAGTATGAATTATGGATGGCTTCCCTCGTCTAGCAGCAAAAAGATGAAACGCTTGTAGAAATGTATCTGTCGTTAAGGATGTAACCAGTTCCGAATGAACACAACGGTACACTGCGCATGTGAATAGGCAAATCCATGCCTTCTCGTTTTCTCTTAAAAATATAGGTTCAGCACAATCTATGCTGGTTATTTGAACACTGAGGCATCTTGTACCCGATCTCTAGGAAGTGGTGGCGCTGGTGGGTTAACATTTTTGTTTGAATAACGCTTACAGGTTATACAAGTTTTCAAAACGGATGACACAACTCTTCTTCCCGCTAATATCCAAAATCTTTCTCTTAAAGAATTTAGGTCGTGAGAAACTCCAATATGTCCTTTCAACTTACCGTATATACTCGCGTATAAGTCGACACCGCGTATAAGTCGACCTCCCCCCCCCCACTTTGACATAAAAATTCGTAGAAAATAAGAAACCCGCGTATAAGTCGAAACCCCACTTCCGAAATCGATCGAGAAACTTCGAAAAAATTTTTTTAAGTACAACATTTATTCAAAATCATCTGAGGAAAAAAAGTAAATATACGATTAAAAATACCTTGGTAAATAAACAAAATCAAAATCCTTCAACGTCCGATTCCTGGTCAGATTCGCCAAACATTTCATAGAACTCTTCTGTTGTCATTGGCTCGTCATCATACATATTTTCAGTCTCGAACTCTGTATTGTTACAATCACTACTAGAGCCTTCGTCGTCATTTTCACTTTCAAAAACAGCATCATCTTCAGTGCCGTCTAGTTCGTTGCTAATACAACATTTTTTAAATGATTTTATAATAATTTCAGAGGGTATTTCGTTCCAAGCATCTTTAACCCACTGAGCAATTAATGTAATATCGGGCTTTTTAATGTTTCCTCCCTTTGTAAATCTTGGTCGACCGGAACTAATCCACTCTGCCCAATATTTTCTAACATTTACTTTGAAGGGCTTATTGAGGCAGACAATCTAGGGGTTGAATGACGGATGTTAATCCTCCCGGAATTACGGCCACAGTCGGTTTTAGGTGTTTTGTCACTTTTGTCACTTCTTCAGAAAAGTGTCCACGAAAAGAATCGTATACTAAAAGCGAAGGTTTTTTGAAAGCTGCTCCCGGTCTTTTATTCCACACATTTTTAAGCCAATCGACTGTTCCGTCAGCATCCATTCATCCCTTTTCATGGGCGCGAACCAGCACACCTGATGGAAACACAACGTTTTTCGGTAAAGTTTTTTTTTTTTTTTTTTTTTTTTTTTTTTTTTAAATAATCAACGGACGATCTTTAAAATGACTATCTGCATTTCTCTTTTCTTGGCGTGTTGGCGAAACTTTTTTATTCCTCGATATTGATCGGTTGTTCGGCGCCGAAAATTCTTTGGTTTAATCGAAACGTACTCTAGTTAAAGTATGAAACTCTGTGATTAGTTCGTCACATAATTTAAGTCATGAAATTACTTCAAGTAAGTGGCTTATTTGATAAGTCGTCCAATTTGAGCGCGGGAAGAAAACAACTGCATTATATAAAGAAATTTGTGAACTTCCGATTCTTTTAATTTTTTATGGCCCCACGTATAAGTGGCCCCCCCACTTTGAAGTCTTTTTTTTTTTTTTTTTTTTTTTTTTTTTGTCCAAAATATCTCGACTTATACGCGACAAGATATTCTCTGCTTCATTTAACTCAGATACAGTAAGTTCATAAGTTCATCCTTTTTTTTTTTTTATGTTTATAGTTGTAAACAAAGCGACACATCCACGCTACCAGTCTGATTGTCTTACGATAACTTGAGAATCTAGTAGCAACTGTTTCACTAGCATTAAGATATATTAAGGACGAAATAATCCTTTTCTTTTTCTCAAGAGCTATTTTTTCTTCATCAGCACGAAATTCTTCTTTTGGCCATTTCTCTGGAGATAAATATAGCCATTCAGGACCTTCCCACCATCTAGATTTAATTCAATGAGAAGCAGAGCATCCTCTACTGAGGCAAATCAGCAGGATTCAGTAGTGATCCTGGTACGTGCCTCCAAGATTCAATAGAAGTCAGTCGCTTTATTTCCTTAATTCTGTTGTAAACAAATACGTCCCATACTTCATTCCTCTGTATCCAAGCTAGCACAGTAGACGAATCTGTCCAAAAATAAATATCATCAGCTTGAAATTCAGGTATTATGCTGGATGCTAAACGTGTACATATTGTAGCTCCAAGAAGTTCCAATCGAGTTATTGTTGTCTTTTTCCTTCCGCTGGGTGCAACTCTCGCTTTAGCTTGCACCAAATGAACTTGAACCAAATCTCTTGTTTGTACTCGAACAAAGGCCACAGCTGAATATGCAAGTTTACTCGCATCACTGAAGAAATGAAGTGAGATATTTTCAATCTCACGATCACAGTTTAACCATCTTGGTATTCTCATTCTTTTCCAGACACTTCAAATCATTCAACCATTTACAAAATTGTGATTTTGAATTTGAATCAACTTCTTGGTCCCAAATAACTTAACTTCCCATAGGTGCTGAAGTAAAAGTTTCGGCACAAGAGTTACGGGGCAAGCTATTCCTAAAGGGTCGAATATTTTGTGTGTAGTAGCTAAAATCTCTCTTTTAAACAAAATTTGTGGTAGATTGTAGATGATGTTAGTAATATTAAGGCAAAGGTAATCTCCACATTGTTCCCAAAGCATTCCTAATACATTTGTGGTACTAGAGGAATTATCTGTTGGGTCACTGTATTCCCAACCACATAATTCTAGCTTTCTTGTAGCTAAAAGTATCTGAAGCAGCTTGTATGAACTGTTGCAATTCTAAATCATTTTTGGCATTCGCTAAACAATTATCTACGTAAAAGCTCTTCTTCGATTGCTCAATAATATCCACTTTATACTTTGGGTTTCCGTTTAGTTGTTTCAAAGTGGATTCTAGAAGAGGGTGAATTACAGAAACTAGTAAGAAAGGGCTACTTGTAACTCCAAATACTACCCTACAATGCCTGTAATACTTCAGTTTTCCATCAGTTCTATACCATAAGAATCTAATATAGTCTTTATCCTTAGGTTTGAGACTTATTTGTAAGAATGCTTTTCGTATATCTGCAGAAACTCCTATTCTGTTCATTCGGAATCTATGAAGAATTGAAGGAATCAGTTCAATAAGGTTCTGACCTTTTTCTAAACAATCATTGAGACTAGGTGATCCTTTCTGTTTGGCCGAGGCATCAAAGACTGGCCTGATTCATGTAGTACTGTTTTCTTTTATTACGTGTTGATGTGGTAGATAATGGCATGTTATATCAATTCGCTTTTTTGTACTTCTTCTATGACGCCTTTTCGTTCTCTCATTCACTAAAACCTTCTCCATAAGCAACATAAAGTTTCTCAGCTTTTAGTCGTTTTACTGTAGAATCTAATCTCTTTACAGCCAAGTCATAGTTATCTTTTAACGGTAAATGATTATCGAGCCATGGCAAGCTGACTTGAAAACGTCCCTCTTCGTTCACCTTTTTAGTAGACAAGAAATGATCTCTTGCCTCTTCTTGAAGTTCCAATTTATTTTTCTTCTCTGAGGGATCTAGAATTGCAAGTGAATCTAGATACCATAGATCGGATATCAATATTTCCTTATTCAACATGGATGTGACGAGCAGTGCGGAAATTGTCCGAGATCTCACGCATAGCCATTTTTCCCAAAAAGAGTCCAACCAAGTTTAGTTTCTATAGCAGCAAGGCCTGAAGTAAGCATTTTAAATCCTCCGGTCATCAACTTACCTGCAATGTCAGCGCCGGTAAGTATTTCTATTGGTCCATTGGTCCATTACTATGGTCGCATACGGAAATATTGTATTCTTTAAGCTCTCGAATCCATTCGCATTTAGCAACTGGTGATATACTTCCACAAATACTTTCTTGGCTAAAAACTTTTAAGTTACAATGATAAGTTCCATCCGTTTTATACAAGAACACTGTAAAAACATCGTGGTTTATGACATCAGTACATGACCCGCCAAATAATGAATGGCTCAATCTTTCTTTAGATGTACTCTCAAATTTAATTTCATCTGCAGTGCTTTTTAGAATATAAGATCTTTGTGAAGTTGAATCGATAATAGCACGGGCCTGGCGCTTTTTATCTCGGCCTTTCAACGCAACCGTTAAAGTTTGCAAAAACACCTTTGTTGTTCTCGCCAAATTGGCGAGGGTTTCATCTCGTTCAAGTACTGCATCCGTATTTTCGTCCTTATTCATGCTAACAGGCACTTGAGATTTTGATTCAGCTTGGATATTTCTACATAAAAGTATGTGGTGTTTCTTCTCCACAAATCACACACGATGTTCGTCTTTTACATTTAGCTATTACATGTTTTCCTGTCTAAACATAGAAAAGCAACTGCGACTATTTAGAACTGCTTTTTGCCTTTCCTCAGACGTCATCTTTCTTGCTTTAAAGCAATCACCAGATGCATGATTTCCAGCACAAAAAATACATCCAGTTGAATTTTGTTCAGATGTTGCTATTAGAGTAGAAGCAGAAGGTGTTTTGGAAAATTCTCCACGGTTTTTGAAACCAAAGTGTTTAGCATTCCCAGGCTTAGGAGTCTGATATTTAGTAAAGCACTGAGTAGCTATAGATACTCTCTCTTCACCTTCAATTTCATCGAGCAAAAATGAAAGCAAACCATCTAAATCCATGCGATGTGTTGACGCATTTTTTCTCTTTTTGCTCACTACTTTCAGATTCTCTCTGACTGCGATTAATAACTCGGAATCTTTGCCATGCTCTTAATGTATCATCCGGCAATGACGATTCGACTAGAGGATATAACATCGCCGCATATTTATCTCTAGCAACACCCAGAACTTCTAACGCTCTTAAGTTTTGATTCTAAGTTATCATAGAGTTTTCGTAATGAAAATTTCTGCTGAGAGTATTTTAATAATACTAACGAAAGTAGATCTCTAACATAGACTTCTATATGAAGGTCTTCTTTCCCGAAACGCGATTGCAGTTGTTGTAAAGCTTTACTATAACTTTCACCACCGGGCGGAAAGCTTTTGATTAACTCTTCAGCAGATGATCCTTTTTTCATAGACTGCAATAAATACGCAAATTTATCATGATCATCTAAATTGGGATCAGTATCGATCTTTTTAAACTGGCCCCCAAATCCTAACCAGCTTTTAATATTCCCATCAAAAATCGGGAGTTTAAGCTTAGGTTAACGAATAGTAGCATTTTGAGTTAAGCTTTCATTAACAACAGAACCGATTTCCTTTTCATCTAGAAGCAATTTCATCTAGAATCAATAATTTGCTTTCTACCATTCTCCACTTATTAATGTAGCATTCCGACTCATCAAACTTATTATTTATCACGGTTTCATCTTTATCAATTTTAATCAATTCTTCTCTATAAGTCTGATCTATTTTAATCATAGGTTTCATTTTTGTCCTCAACTAATTTAAGTTTCGAAATTTTTCCGTCTAAAGATAAATCTTTTTCATTCCTTTCAAAATAATTTAAAGCTCTTGTAAACAATCTCCTGAACTGAGATCGTTTGCCCTTAAAACATCCACTATATCTAAACGAAAGAGTTCTACTTATAGATAACAGTCCTGCCAGCGGACGCCAAATGTTCAAAAATTCTCACCAAATTTATTACCTTAAGAAACTGATTACCTATAGAGTAAAGAAAACGATTACATCTGCTTGAAGCTCGTGCAATATTACTCAGAAGCTGCAGTTAGAAAAAAATGTAAACAAAAATATTACAGTCAAAATATTGTTCATTAGCCAAAGGTTTTGGAACATTGTTCGAAAGCCGCGGACTGCGGCATTCCTGGTCGTTATACCGTGCATCCCGCTTAATAAGAAGCTTTCGATTAATGACGATTCCGCAGTTACTTAGGAGATTGTGGGATTGGGTATGCAAACTGAATAATTTTACTTCCCTGTTACGCAGGTATACAGGTTATACAGGTTACGGTGAACGGTTAACAGTCAGTCAGTAAACTGACTGAGTCGTGCTACTAAATTGTCCTTCTGATCCGTGATTTCTGCTTTACTCTGTGAGCGATTCCGGTATGTGCGATAGTCCTCGTGTGTTTAGGAGAATTCTTCGTTTTTCTCCTCCTGTAGTTGTTTTTATCGTTGTATATGTTGTTATTTATTTAAATAAAATTTAAGTTTCTTTTTTATTCATCTGATACAATTTTTCAGGGAATCTTTATGAACTCTAGCACTCTAGAATATTGTGGGTGTATAGGGATTCGTAATAGGTTGAAAGCACATTGAACCGATAATAGCTTGATAAACGTTTTCTTAACCAAAGAAACACAGTTCTGGAACTTTTCACGAAAGTACCCGTACAGCTCTTTACGAATCACACAGTAAAATCAGCAGGTACGCTTCAAGCTACGAATACCTTAAACACAATGCAATACAAAGCGCATTTAAAGAGCGAATCTAACATGGAAATATCTCAATACTGCGAGCTCACGTTGAAATAAACAACTTAGAAACTGATGCTTTCTCTAGTCATTATATACTTTTCTCCCGGCTATCAAAAAGTTACTATTACTTTCCACTTCTCGAAATTACTGAAAGGCATATCAGGGCCAGATACGGTTACAGTTACATATATAGATTAATTACATTTATTCAGTCACAATACCAATTACAATTATACATAGGCCTGACCTAAATGTCGCCAAATGGTCGCTAAGATTGGCGACTTTTAGTGATTGCTCGCAATATTTGGCAACAAAAATTAGTTTTCAAAATCACTGCCATCTTGGCGACATCCCGCCAATTTAACGAGATAGGCACTTACTAAATGTTAAATAGACTTGCCGCTGTAGGCTTATTTTTGCGAAAGAGATTTGCCTTTTGAGATTTTCATGTTACATTATACAAAATAACTACAATTTTACAGACAATTTATAAAATTATTTACATATATACAGAATTCTAACAATATTAATTTTGTGTTTTTAAGATTTTCTCAAAAGTTAATAATTTTTTTCGTCCAATATATTTGAAATATACTTCTGAAACTGTTTGCTAGATTGTCTTCAGATTTACAAATAGTAGTAATAAAGCAAACACTGAAAATAATGGACAAAACTAAATTTATTTCTAGGCCATTGTTTATGTAGCAGTAAAGGATTTCTCGGATCACAATCACACTTATATTATTTTATCTTTAACTTATTATGCAGAGCACTTTTAATAAAGGATTTTCAACTAAATACACTCATACATCATTTAAGTCCAATCAAGCTTAAAATGAGTAGTTTATGAATTACATAAAAAATTTAAGGAAATTAAATAACACAGATAGATTATATTTGAACCTGAATTTTGCTAGAATAATATATGCTTAAGCGTTTGTTTAGATACGCGAGCTTATATATCTTTTATC